ATCTCCAGGTTGAGGGGCGTCAGGAGGCTCTCGTTGACAGACACGGAGGTGATGCATGGGGGGCTGGGCCCGCAGACGCCCCCTGAGCGGTAGCCGAAGCTGCGCCCATAGGAGCCAGAGCGGAAGCCCCCGCAGACGCTGTGGCTGCTGGAGAGGCCGCGGTAGCAGGAGATGCCGCGGTAGGGGGCGGCGGTGATGCAGCAGCGGCCTGGCCGAGGTCCGCAGGCCGAGGCGCAGCTGAAGGCGCGACCTCCAAATCCTGATCCACAGGTCATGGTGCTTCTGAGAATGTGTGCTGTACAGGACAAGATGGGCGATCTGGAATCTGGTGGAATCTCCAATGTGCTCTCTGGACCTTCTTGGTCGTATTTATGCTCCCATTCTGCAGGCCCGGCTGTAGAGATGGGTTGGGACAATTGAGCTTTATGGGCTTGGGCGGTTAGCTCTGGCCAACCCCTCTGCAGAATGTGCTTTAATGGTGGAGTGGTCCGCACCCTCCTCTTTGTAAGGCAAGCTAGCCCCTGGGCTCTGGGACTCAGCAGTTTTCATCTTCAAAGTGCCTAGAGGCAGGGCAGGCACTGTCTGTGGGCAGAGGAGGAAGGGAGAGCCATGCAAGTGGGGGGTGGGAGTGGAGGGGGGAGAGGGGGTGGACAGGGAAGGGCTGGCATCCAGAGAAGGGGCCTGGGTCTTGAGTGCGGTGGGGAAGGTGCAGTATTAACTTGTGACAAGAGGATGTTTCTGTTGCATAGTGACTGAGGACTCTATAAAATGCAGGTCTGGGTTTCTGCATTGCTGATGGTAAGGGCTGCTGAAAATCCTTCACTTTCTCTACATGGGCTGCACTTTGCATATAGGTACATGTTTTTCTCTTCTTTCCCTTCCTACGTTTACTGTGAGAGTTGTCAAACAGAAAATTCAAAATAACACCACAAACGCAGATTGCTCTACTAGATTCAGTGGTTATTAAGACAATGTCACAATGTTGCCTAATGACTCTACAATTTCAGAAAATAGGAAGTATAATCCTGACTACTTCTGCCTGCACATCTCTGTGTGTTCTCTTTTTTCTTTTCCTTTGTGTGCTGCTAGGGCTCAAACCCCAGAGCCATGAACACACTAGGCCAGTGTTCTACCACTGTGCTACACCCCAGCTACTTCAGCAATGTTAAAAAACAAAAACAGCCTCCCCCAAACGCATATAGCCGGGCACCAGTGTCTCACCCCTGTAATCCTACCTACTCAGGAGGCTGAGATCTAAGGATCACTGTTCAAAGCCAACTCAGACAAGAAGTTCCATGAAACTCTTTATCTCCAATTAAGCACCCCAAAAAACCAGAAGTGGAGCTATGGCTTAAATGGTAGAGCCTTGAACCCGTACAAGTGCATGTATACACACACACACACACACACACACACACAAATAATGTCCTTAAAAATGAGGTCAGTAGTATTTTTACATGTAAAATAATGAATAATTCCCAGAACTAGGCACTCTTCATTCCATATTTAATGTTCCCAATTGTTCAAGACTAAGAAAAAATAAATTGTAGCTGATTTAGCCTGTGACTCTCTTTTCTCTCTTGTATTTTCTCTAAACTGGAAGTTGGACCTTGAGCTGGACTGTCCAGGATGCTAGGACAGTATGCCAGGCTATTGAAAGTTAAATTGGTTAACATTCAAGAAACAAAGCAATCTAGCCCTTTAGTTTGCAGTTAAGTCCTCAGCTACTCAGGACTAGGGTCCACTTTATTGGACAGTACAGGTAAAGAACATTTATTTCCACTATCCTATGAAATGCTTTTGGACAGTGCTGCGCAATGGCATGGTGGTATGGGCCTTGGGATGTGGAGGCAGAAAGATTTCAAGTTCAAGACCAGCCTGGGCTACATAGTAAGACTATGTCTCAAAAAAAAAATAAAACAAAACAAAAGTAGTATTGGGTGACAGTGGCTAATATCTGTATTTCTAGCGATTCAAGGGGTTGAGGTCTGGAGATCAAACTTCAAAGACAGTTAAGTAAAAAAGTCTGTGAGACTTTCATCTCCAATTAATCAGCAAAAATCTGAAAGCAAAGGTGTGACTTAAGTGGTAGAACATCACCCTTGACTTGAAAAGCCAAGGGAGACTGTGAGGCTTTGAGTTCAAGCCCCAGTACTAGAGCACACATGCATCTATACATACACATTGGATTACTTAACTATAGTTCCCCCCTTACATGTAGAAATATTTCTGTGTTTACTTTTTAAAATCAGCAATCTACTATGTGCTCCTCACTCCAAGTCATAAATGATTTCTGATTCTTATATCACCATATGGATTCCATTTTAACAGATTGAGGAAACAGGCTCAAGATAAGTTGCAAACCTTTCCCAAAGTTTCCCAGCTGCCAAGTCATGGAAGCAGAAAAAACATGCCCTTTCCTCTGCTATGCGAACCCATGTATTTCTGAATCTCTGGAACAGTTCTGAGAGTAGAGAGAGAGGGCTAGGAGAGGATCTTTGCCGGCTTAGGGTAAAGAGGAGGCAAACTAAAGAGGATAGGCAAAATAGAGGGCTGGGTGGGTAGGAGAGGAGGGCCCTTGGATCTGTTTGTGGCATAGGCAGTAGAAGCTACTACTTTAGAACTGGGGATGGATTTGCAATACTAGGAAAGTGACAGAAAGTATTTGCTGCTTGTATACAACTGGTATATTGTAATTGCTTTGATAGATTTTACTAAGTCCTATGTAGTGAGTGTGTGTGTGTGTGTGTGTGTGTGTGTGTGTGTGTGTTGCACATGCTGGTGCTAGGGCTTACACTCAAGGTCTGGGTACTGTCCCTTAGCATTATCAACTCAAGGCTGGAACTCAACCACTTTGGAACTAAGAGTCTTAAGGACTTTCTTGCCAGAGCTGGTTTCAAATTGTGGTCCTCAAATCTCAACCTCCTGAGTCTCCATACCTTAATAGGACAAGTACTAGAAAAATGACTTCTTAAGGATGCAGAGGTTTGCATGGAACTGGAGACAATGAGATGGGAATGACATGACAAGGCTTGTAGCACCCAGGGGCAAGGCAGGCAGACCCTTAGAGAGGAGCCAGGGACTAGGATTGGGGGGAGGGGGAAGATGGGAGGGGGGCAGAGGGAGGGGATGAGGAACTAGAGGGTAAAGCAAAACATTTGGAGTTTTGACAGGATAGACCAGAGGTCAAGGTCACCTTGGAGGAGGGCGTGGCACCTACTGTCACTTTATATGTTCAGGACAGCTGGGCCAGCTCTTTGTGGCATCGCTTGCATTTTAGGCACTGCCCACAACTCAGCAGTCTTGTCCCTAGCTAACCAGCTGGCTGGTGTCATGTAGGAAGCTGAGTCAAGGTACCTCTCTCACACTTTGCCTTTTCTGCCAGTGGCACTCCTCATAAAAATGCCACGCATAAACATGAGCTAATTATAAATGGCTGGCCTTTGCTAAGCAATTTTCAAGCCAAAAGAGGCAATTTAAAACAAGATACAAGGAAACCCAAATGTGACACTACTTCATTAAACTTCAGGAATTGTTAATTACTGCTAATTTTGAAGACCTAAAAGGATACTCAACATGTTATTTTTTTTTCTTCCCAGTGAAAAAGCTTGTGGTGGGGAAAGAGGGAGGGGTGAGGAGGGAGGAGGGTTCTGGGAAAAAGAAGGAAAAGGTGGGGAGGGAAGAGGGAGGAAAATGTGGGAAAGCTGATGTAATAATCTCTCTATTGTCTAGTCTTGGCTCTGATAGTATAAAGTTAACATCATTTAACTTTATGAAAGTTAATGTTATTTTTATTCCAAAGTATGTCTAGGTACAGCAGCTGTGCCCATGAGGAGACACAGCATATGTGTGACTTAGGAGCTAGTATGGATGCTTTTTCCATGTTGTCTGGGCCATCTATGCAAAAAAGCTTTCCATGGGTGGTTTTTTAAAGCTATACACATACATCCTGGTGTCAGGGGCTCACACGTGTAATTCTAGCTACTCAAGAAGTCGAGATCTGAAGATCACAGTTCAAAGTGAGACTGGGAAACCCATGAGAATCCTATCTCCAATTAACCACCAAAAGTCAGAAGTGGAACTGTCTTAAGTGGCAGAGGACTAGCTGTGAGCAGAAAAACTAAGGGACCATTCCCAGGTCCTGAGTTTAGGTCCTAGTTCTGGAGTATGTGCACGCACGCACACACATACACACACACATTACACAATTATGTATTTAGTATAGCAAGTATTACTATTCTTCCAAATTTAAAAAATGAATCTTACCATGTACCAGTGTCTCACACTTGGAATCCTACCTATTCAGGAGGCTGAAATCTGAGGATCACTGCTCAAAGCCAACCTCGGCAGCAAAGTCTAGGAGACTCTCCAATTAACCACCAAAGAACTAGAAGTGGAGCTGTGGTCAAGTAGAGTGCTAGCCTTGAGCAAAAAAAAAATCAGAAATAGTGCCCAAACCCTGAGTTCAAGCCCCAGGACTGGCAGCAAGCTAAAATCAAGCCCCCTAAAATGAATCTCTCTCCCTCACCCTCTTCTCTTTGTTGTGCTAGAGAGGAGACCCAGGGTCTATACATCTTCGATAAGTTCTCAATTAACTGAGCTCCACCTTAGCCCTAAGAATCTCTTTTGGGGTTCATCTCAATTCATATCTGATACTCTCTAGGGCACCCAACATTCACTGTCAGGTAATAATTCCTACGGGTACCCTCTGAGACTGATGTTCTCAGGCCTAGGGAAGTTATGAGACTCGCTCAGGTGAGAGAGTCGGAGGTGATGCTCAGAGCCTGGGTGCTTGACTCCAGTGGAAAGCATGTGTTTGTCTCCTGTACTCCCACCTGTCTGTCATCATCCCTCAACAGAGACAACACACATACAATAGTGTTCTATGTAGTGTAGAAGACACCCACTCACTCATCTCTTCCCTCCTCTTCAAGGTCTGCAGGATGTTCTCGGGGCTCAGAGCCAGAGGATGGAAGAGAACTCACCCTTGTTCCTGGTGAGCTTCCAGTTTTGACAAGTTGCTAGCTGGACTTGTACCCAGAGCACAAACAGAAATGCAAACCCTGAAATGCATCACCATGCACAAATGTTTGTTTGTGGGTATGTTCCGAGGGCTTGACATATAGTAGGCACTCAATAAAGTTTGTTGAATGAATACAACGAATGCCAGCTATGAATTAAGTGCTGAGTAATGGAGCCTTCAAAGCTTGGTGGCTTATTGTGCAAAGCTTTGTGGTAGGTCAGGGTGGGGACCAAATGAAGCAGAGCAGAGGAT